AGGTGCTCAGGCATGAAACTGTGCAGCTCACACACTATACTTTTCCGCTCACACTGAAAAAAAATTAGAGGGAACATTGCCGGCGTCGTCAAGTGACGTATTAGGACCTTTTCCACTTCACTAAAGTGGGTGTGGGTGTGGCCAGAACATGATGCATCCGGCCCATGGGCCAGGAGTTTGACAGCCCTGATCTAAGCAGTGTGCTTAATTTCTAGGTAAGCTTCAGTCAATAGTAGCTTCTGGATAACCTTGCCTGGGCTTGGAAACTAAGCAGAGCTGAATCTGGTTAGAACTTGGATGGGAAATTACTATGACATACATGAAATACAAAGACTATATTACTACACTGAGAAATCAATAGAAAGGTTCCAAAAGAATGCAATGGCAAACCACTGTTGTACTGTTATCAAGAAAGCTGCATAAACAAATTTAATTTATCCCAGTCAGTGTTCTGCTTGCATTACTTCACAGTGATTAATAACAAATGGCAGAAGGAGACAATGAAAGAAAGATTGAGCTAATTCTTAACATAATTTTAAAATGTGATTTTTAAAACCAGGCCCAGATTTTATTGTTTTGTCACAATCAAATAAATGTGCATAGCATGTACTGATATGCTGTACACTGAATCATTCACTGATATGCTATACAATGCATCTATATGATTCAAGTGTGATTCTATTGGAATATCTTGTTCTGAATATATTTGAAGTGGAATGTAGATATTCTGATTACCCAATTACTAAAGTAGATATTCTGATTAACTAGTTACTGAAGTAAGCAGTAATAATTATTGAGATGTTTCATCTATAGCTATTTCCACAATTTATGAGTTCTGCTTATTCTTTTGCAGTCCACCACAATCAGTTATGGAAGACTCTGAAAATAAGAAGGTAGCAGAAATCACTTTTGTCTTTGAAACCATCTGCAGTGTGAATTGTGAACTTTATTTTATGGTGGTAAGTTTTTATCCAACATCTAAAACCAAGAATTATTTAGGTGTATTGTTTATTCATAGATTTATACCATTTCATTTTTGCTAGGGTATGAATTCTAGGACCAATTCCCCTGTAGAAACCTGGTTTGGCGCCAAGGGAAAGCAATCCTATACGTATGTCATTGAGAAGAATGCTACCACGAGTTTCACGTGGGCCTTCCAGAGGACAGCATTCAACGAAGCGGTAAAGACTGAGAAATCTGTGTTTTACTAGTTCTTCAAATATCCTTTTAGGGAATGATTCTCATCAAGAATTAGGTTTATTCTTAAAAATAGAGGCCATTAAAGTTAGGACTATGCCCACCATTTCCTGCAATTGTCCTGCCTTCTCTATAAATGAAGATTTTCTTTACACAAAGTCACTTATGACACTCTGTGATTTCTTCCAGGGAAGAAAATACACAAATGATGTTGCCAGATTGTACTCCATCAATGTGACCAATGTCATAGACGGCGTAGCTTCTTATTGCCGGCAGTGCGCTTTGGAAACCTCTGGCTCATCCTGTACTTCCTGCCCTCATGGGCACTACATTGACAAAACATCCGGTGCTTGTTCTCCATGTCCATCAAACACTTACCTGAAAGCTCACCAACCTTATGGCAAGCAAGCTTGCATCCCTTGTGGCCCTGGCACAAAAAATAATAAGGTACTATATTGTCCTCTTTACTGTTCATAATTTCTGTACTGTGACAACTGGAGTTACATCATTATTTGAACAAAACTGCAACACGAGGAGTGCAAATATTGGAGTTGACAAAGGATTGTTACTTAAAATAATGAAAGCAATATCAGGGCAATAAATTCCAATAACATATTAGGTCCAGATACATTGCCAAAAAGTGGCAATTTGTCAGATTCTTGACCTCTGCTCAAAACCAAGCATGATCCTTCTCCTAACACAACTCTCAGAAAATCTCTTTAGCAGAATTCACTGAGAAGAGCTGAGTTTTAAGAATATCAGCAACTGCATTCCGTCTCCAACCAATATATCCCAAAGCATTTGAGTGGAAACTACTTTCTTTCTAATTACCACCTATTGAATCAAGAAATGATGGCTCTTTTCAGTTATAATGAAGGAGGTTGCAACAGGCAGCTTACATAATAGTAGAAAAAAAATACTATTCTGTGCTTCTGACAGTTTTCCAGATGGCCAAATTAGCTATTTTCTATCTTATCACATAACGTATGAATTTTTATGAAATACTATACACATAGTCCTTGACTTATGATCACAATTGAGCCCAAAATGTAAGTTGGTAAATGAGACATTTCTTAAGTGAGTTTTGCCCAATTTTATGACTTTTCTTGCCACATCTGTTAAGTGAATTACTGTAGTTAAGTTAGTAACATGGTTGGTAAGTGAATCTGGCTTCCCCACTGACTTTACTTGTCAGAAGGTTGCAAAGGGTGATCCCATGAATTGAATTTTGATCACATGACCATGGGGATGCTGCAACGGTAAGTATGAAAAATGGTCACAAGTCACTTTAAGTGCCACTGTAACTTCAAACGGTCACTAAATGAACTATTGTAAGTAGACTACTGTATGTGTAGCTTGTCAGGCAGCAATAATAACCCAAGGAGCCAAGCCAGGAATAGCAATCTTTGTGCATCGAGCACATTCATCTTTGGTGAGAAGGATGTCTATAGATATTAGATAGATAGATGGATAGGTAGGGAGGTAGGTAGGGAGGTAGGTAGGGAGGTAGGTAGATAGATAACTTTACATGTGTCATTGCATGATTTTGCAAGAATGCACAGAAGCTCAATAGCTAATCAAAATTAACTTGAAAAGTCTAAGTTCACTGGAGATTTTAGCTTTCTCACTTGTGAAATTATGGGGCTTAAGCAAGATTTTCACCATTTATTTTTTTGTATCCTCCTCATGACAAGTGGAGTGCCAAGTCCAAAGTTCAGTGCATAAAATAGCAAATAAATCTTGCCTTCAGCAAAAATAACTATTCTGTTTGCTTAACAGTAGTAGGAGCTTCTGAACTATACTTCCTGATTTCTTTTGGAGCTACTTTTTCAGTTATATTCTCTGCATACACAAAGTGCAGAATATTGTTTGAAAATGTAATCTTTTCTTTCTTCCAGCAGACAGTGCTGAGCATGGTACAATCTCTCAGTTGGCAATAAATTTACAGAATATTCTGAATCTGAAATGTTGATCCTGTTATTAAATCATTGTGATTTTTTTTAAAAAAAAACACCTCATACAGCTTTTGTGGACCTGGATAGCCAATGACCATAGCTGTATGAATAGCAATAATCAAATATGCTAAATTGGTCCATCAATCAATGAACACAGTCTTTCAGAGATAGAAGAGTAAAATGCTATCTGTAAGAATTGCATGAGAGGTATTTTGGAAGAAAATTAGACTTAACTTCATTTTCTTCAAATCATCAAATAATTTATATGGATTTTTGTTTTTCTTAAACACAAATAAAATTATATTCTTTTAGAAATACTAGTTATTTCCTGCCAAAACTGAAATAGCAGAAGAGCTGCTAAGTTCGTCCTCTCCAACGTTCTGTTTTCTGTAATCATCCAGGTTGTTTGGGCAACCGAGGTTTGTCTGAGTAGAACCCTAAGGGATTCAGGAGCTGGTATTAGACATCTCAGTAACACCTGAGTGTCCTTCTACTGTTGCAACAGTTTCTAAATTATTCTGCTGGGCTGTGTTTTCTTTCTCTCTTTAGATTCATTCTCTATGTTACAACGATTGTCACTTCTCAGTCAGCATGAAGGATAGGACTCGGGAGTATGACTTCTCCAGACTGGCTTACAGCACCTCCTTTTTAGGAGGGCCAAGTTTTACTTCAAAAGGCCTGAAGTACTTTCACCACTTCAACATCAGTTTATGCGGAAATTATGTAAGTATATGTGCATTTTCCTGAGGCAAGCATCAATGGAAGCATTGGAGATAGTGTCGTTTGTCCATTTACAGCAGTGTTTCTCAACCTTGGCAGCTTCTCAATTCCCAGAATTACCCAACTAACAGTGCCGGCTGGGGAATTCTGGAAGTTCAAGTCCAGACATCTTAAAGGTGCCAAAGCTAAGGGTTGACTTCCCATACTTCAGTTTAATCTACAACGAAATGCCTCCCAGGACAAGAGTGAGGGGGGAGGGTGTCAGATAATGAAGCATATGAAAAAAGTTAGGCCACAGAGAATGTCAGAACGATGCTATTAGCAGAAAAAAATAATACCAGCATTTTTGACTGTTTCATAATAATAAATTGAAAATAAATTCTAAACCATTAATGGCAAAAAAGTCTCTTTTGCAGAGAAAACAAAACTTTGAAAAGTCAGAAGACAGGTCTTTTTTTTTTTTTTTAAACTATTAATTTTTATTGCATTTAAGCAAATGCAAACCTGACATTCCTTTGGACAGCTCTATTTAATGCAGGGAGATTCACACATTCTTGAACAGAGAAATATGTTTGTCTCTGTACATCTTTTGAACCCCAATTCTGCAGCACAATACATACATACATACATACATACATACATACATACATACATACATACATACATACATACATACATACTGTGTGTGTGTGTGCGTGCGCGCGTGTGTATATATATATATATATATATATATATATATATATGTATATATGTATGTATGTATGTATGTATGTATGTATGTATGTATGTATGTATGTGTGTGTGTATATATATATCTTGATCTTGATTCTATCCCTCTGTTTATGCAGCCTAGAATTGTGTTGGCTTTTTTGGCAGCTGCTGCACACAGTATTGTGGTTGTTAAGTGAATCTAGTTTCCCTGATGACTTTGCTTGTCAGAAGATTGCAAAAGTTGATCACATAACCAGAGGACGTTGTAGCCTTCAAAAATACATGCCACTTGCCACACACCTGACTTTTTATCACGTGACTATGGGGATGCTGCAATGGTCGAAAGTCATAAAAACAGTCATAAGTCAAAGCCACTTTTTTCAGTGATGTTGTAATTTCAAACTGTCACTAAACAAATGGTTGTAACTTGAGGACTACCTGTACAATATTTCAAAAAGAGCATCTCGCTTTTTAATAGCAATGAGAGACAGGGTTGTTATCAAGTCTCTTGTTTTGTTTTGTTTTGTTTTGTTTTCTTGAAGGGAAAAAAGACTGCTCTCTGCATAGATAACGTCACAGATAGTCATCTTTTGGACAAAGACACTGAGTTCTCCAAGTCAATTTCATCCTATGTATGCCAGTCCGTCATGATTCCTTCTGAAGTGATGGGTTACAAAACCATGGTCTCTTCTCAGCCTGTGAGCCTGGCGGATACTTTTGTGGGTGAGAGTCATTGAAAAAAAGTAGCCTCTTTACTGAACAGAAGTCAAAAGCAGTTGCCAGATGGAAGTGCCGTACAGGTGATCTTTAATAGTACTGAGCCAAATCTGGACCCAGTAGTGGCAGAATCACTTTAATCACTGGCATAGAAGAATAAAACCATTTTATAGAAAATATTAGGTGGGAGGATCATTTTTCTCTTTTAAAAAGACCCAAGTGCTCATTCTCTGTTCTATTTTCCATCACCTCTCCACAATTCTTTGCAGAATTCTTCCTTCACAGTTTCTTTTTAAAAAAAATATTTTTTTAAATATTTTTTTTCCTTCACAGTTTCTTGAGGCTCACTATTTCCCTTTTTAACACTGCCCAGACTTCTCTCCAAACACTGTAACTTAAAATTGTGATACAGTCTCTTACTATTAATGGTTTAATGGTTTTTTTAAATAACAAAGAAAATCTCTTCCCAAATTCAGAGATGGGGGAAAAAACCCAGAATATTTTGACCACACATACACACTCATAGTAGAGCCATTCCCACACTTGACCCCACCATCATGGTCATGGTGGGTATCAGGTCCTTCCTCCAAGTCACCATAAGATTACCTGTGCCTGCGCCTCTTGGCACTTTTTCACTTTAGTTCTTGTCATTCTTAGAAAAGCACTTTATGGCTCATACCACTCATCATGCTTTACATACATACACATGCACACACACACACACACACACCAGTGATGTATTGTGAAAAATAAATCAAGACTTGTTAGATGCTCTGGTTTCAGTTTCAATTCCTGAGAACAATTATGGACAAAATGAATGTGTTTATCAAACACAGTAATTAATACAACATAGAATTTATCTTCTGATGCAGAAAACCTTTAACAATACATTTTGGGGAACAAAATATATTTATCCTTAAAATGTATTCTCTATCTTTTTTATGCCGTGGTATTCTTATTGATTGGGATTTAATCACTAGGAGTAACAACAAAACCTACTCTGGACAACATAACTTCTCATGCTGATTATTTCCCTGGTGGAAATGGGGACTTACCTGATGTCATATTCTTTTATAGGTAAGCTAAAGAACTATCAAACAAGGGTATGATCAAGTTTTAACCACTTTTTTTGGTGGGAAAAAATGGAATCTTTCTGACAAAAATATTTCAGGATTTTTGTCCTGGCAATATTTCAGGATTTTGTAGAGTTTGTGAAATTTATAGCTTGTGGAATCTTACTTTCCAAACCAGAACATAGTTAGAAATAATATAGCAGAAAATGCTATTGTTGCTCTAGTGTTGAATTATCTGCATTTGACAAACTGTGGTAGCCAAGGCTTGTAGCTGATTTGTGATTCATGAACTGATAATGTGATTTTGTATGTATTCTTTGCATTTTTATTGACGAGAGGGCACTGATTGCCCCAAACTATACACATGGACTTATAGTTTGTACAGTCGTATAAGACATGCCCATTTTTTTGGGTCAGAGGGAGAGGGGGAGGGGGTTGAGGAGAAGTTGATCATTGACCCCTTGGATATATTGACCATTTTGGGGGACCCTGGTTTAGATTTTCTTAAAATAATGACTTTTCTGAACTGCAGATCCAAGGATGTGACCCAGACATGCCGTGATGGAAGAGTAACTACCATTAGGCTAAGATGTGACCCCCTAAAATTTGAGTTTGCTCTCTCTTTACCAAGGTAATGACAAGATACGAGATGTTTATTTTTTCTCTCTCCTTCCTCTGCTTCAGGCAGATAAAATATTGTCCGAGGTGCCAAGTGTACATGCTTTTATAAAATTTAAGCAACCTCCATGTTCTTAAAAGATTGCTTGGCAGTGTGGGATTTCTTAATATTACAGTGCTCAGCTAGCTTAGGAATTTATTCCTTAAGAATGAGCCTCAAAAAGTATTATACTACTGAGGGAATTTCTACAGTTATCAGCAGACTACAGGTAGTCCTCAACGTACAACCACAATTGAGCCCAAAATTTATGTTGCTAAGTGAGAAATTTGTTAAATGAGTTTTGCCCCATTATGACTTTTCTTGCCACATTTGTTAAGTGAATCACTGCAGTTGTTAAATTACTAACAGAGTTGTTAAATGAATGCGGTTTCCCCATTGCCTTTGCTTGTCAGAAGATGGCAAAAGGTGATCATATGACCCAGGGATTTTGCAACCATCATAAATGTGAGTCAGTTGTCAAGCATCCAAATGTAAATCACATGACCATGCGGATGCTCCAATGGTGATAAGTGTGAAAAATGGTCATAAGTGCTTTTTTAAGTGCCATTGTAATGTCAAATGGTCACTAAGTAAACTGTTGTAAGTTAAGAAGTACCTGTATAGCCTTGTGAAATACTGTCAACAGTGAGTGCTAGTAGCTCTCCATGATCTCAGACAGAAGTGTTTCCTGTTTCTGGAGTTGAAGTTGCCTATCTAGTTTGGCAGTATACATTCTTGGATAAAGTTTGTTTGTTCACATTTACCAACTTGATCTCTCAAACTTCTTTCCAACACTATCTCTACAAGGTATGCTATATTCTTCACATTAGCAGGAGTGGGTTCCTGCCAGTTCTAACCTCTTCTATAGAAGAGGTTCCACAAATCTACAGTGCCGTTTAGAACCGATCCCAGCTCCCTCCCCCTGCCCGTCCGCACATCATCAAGATGAAGAGTGAGAGGAGGAATTCTGGGGGTTGAAGTCCACAAGTCTTAAAGCTGTCAAGTTTGAACACCCTTGGGTTTTTTTTTCTAAAGGGTTAGGGGTGCAAAGGTCTTGTAACTTGACAGCTTTAAGACTTTCATGCTTCAAATGCCAGAGTTTCTGAACCAACATTTTGGTTGCTAAGCAAGAGCGTTGTTAAGTGAGTTTCACCACATTTTACAAGTTGGCCACGCCCACCTAATCACATGGCCGGCAAGTCACTCCCACAAAGCAGGACACACCTACAGAAGAGGTTCTAAACATTTTTGAAACCCACCACTGTACAGTAGCTATATTTTTTAAAAGTGCTTTTACAAATGCTTTGACAATAAAATATATCAGAATGGTCAGATTAAATTGCTTTGAAATTCAGCAACTCTTACATAATCTATATATGAGGCATGATGTTGATCATTGGTTAAGGGAAACTTCCTTAATCTGACTGAAAGGAGCTGCAACTTCCAGAATTCCCAACCCTTCTGGGCAGCATTAGGTTGAAGGGAACTAGTTTAAGGGATACCTGATAATAGGGCTGGAAAATTATCTTTGCTGAAACCTTCAACAGCCAGCTCTTAATCTGTTGATCTCTCTGCTCAAGGGTGTCTTTATGTGATTCTGTTTAAATTTCAAAACAGCAAGTGTCCTGATGGAACCTGTGATGGATGCACTTTCCATTTCCTGTGGGAGTCAGTTGAAGCCTGTCCTCTCTGTTCTGCAGAAGATTACCATGCCATTATCAGTGCCTGCATTGGAGGGATACAGGTAGATTAAAACTACAAGGAGTTATAGAAATAATGTAGTCAAATATTAATCGACATCAGCAGCTAAGAAAGTCAGAAACCTTTTTTTCTATTTTATTTACTTCTTTCTTTTCTTTTTTCTTTCTTGCTTTTTTATTTTCTCAAACCTTTTCTTTCTTGTCTGTGTACCTTTTAATTTCCTGTTTTTTGAAAATTGATGAAGTTTTTTTAACAAACTCAATTCAGGAATTGAAATTTTCACGTTTCTGCACTTGTGCTACTACTGCTACATTTGGGGATGAAACTCATAGGATTGTCAGTATGACTTTAGAGCAAATGCTGCATATTAATTCTTAATTATCCTAATATTCCAAATTTATGAAGACATCAAAAATTGTAGATTCTTTCTGCATGAGGGATAGCGTAAGTATATAACACTGAAAGATATAGCTTTATCTGATTTGGTAATAGAATTACCAAAGTGCTACCCTGAGGCAAGATGGGTGGCCTATAAATTTTATAAATAAATGTTATCAGACATGAGCACCATGCCCTAGAATCAGACATGACTGGATAGGGAAACTTTTTCCTTTAGTACATTTGAATTAATCTTTGTGTCCCCACCCCACCCCAAAGATAGGAACTTTCTGCTAATATCATGAAATTTTCTGTGTTGTTTGGGTCCAGGTGTTCTAAACTGTGTTTGGCACCAAACAGTTATTCATACTTTTACTTTGGTTTCATAAATAATAACTGCTTATCAGACTAAACTATGACAGATCTGCTTTCTTCTCTACACAGTGTTTAAATATGCAATTAATTGATTATTGTGCTCTGCTAATCATTCAATAAACATGCATGTAAAACAAGTAGAGATCCCAAATTGAAAAAGGGAAGGGAAAAAAAATCCACTGGAACTCCAGACTATGTTTACTTAGGGGGCACATGAATTTCACGGAAATACATTGGAGTTCAAATTATAAACCACCTGGGGTAGCTAGTGCTGGACTGAAACATGCCTAAAGACAATTTGGAAAATGTTCTGGCACACCTGGATGCTGCCAGTTAGGGAGGGCTTGGGACACTATTTCAGCAACCATTTCAGTAATAAAGCTCTGATACTTGCTCCTAAACCTGCTTGTGTCCTGTAGTGTGCAACAGCAGTGCAACTGTCACTGTTCGCCTTGGCTGTGTTACTCTTTATCAGACTGACATTATGATAGATCCGCTTTCCTCACTATAGCGAACCACCTATGTATGGCGGAAGCCAAAGCTATGCGCCGGAGGCATCCAGCTTCCAGAAGAAAAAGTCAGCATCTGCAAGTCCATGGACTTCTGGCTTAAGGTGGGCATCTCTGCTGGGACTTGTGCTGCCATCCTGCTGACCGTCATGACTTGCTACTTCTGGAAGAAAAATCAAAAGTAAGTTGTCCACTTGTCAAAAGCAAGTTGTCCACAAGTTGCCCACTTGGCATCAATTCTGACTGTGACCAGAAATCTTCAGTTTAATCGACTCTTCGGGTCAGCAAGCAGAAACCATTAAAACAGTAAATGATGTATTTTATTCATTTCCTTTATTTATGTAATGACATACAGTATGTATGCAAGGATGACTTTATATTATTTGCATAGACTATGCAAATGATATAAACTGATGGAAATAGATATGAGGACATCATTTACAGATGTAATTAACATTTACATTTAATAATGAATTGTCTGAGTAGTAACCTGTTACTTTGCCTTGAAAAAAAATCATTCATTGTGTATGAAATTAATTGAACCTAGTCTCTCAAATGTAGGTTTTTTTTAATATTATGGTACTTTATACAAAGCTCCCATCCTAGTTAACTTTTAAAAACAATTTTGAACAATACAATAGACAATAACAAAGGCTGCAAGTTTTCAAATATTAATATTTTGCATAATGGCAATGTAAAAGTATGTAAAGTTACATGAAGGTTTTTTTTTAATTTTCTACTTGCTTTCTTAAAAATTTCAGCCATTACATACTTGTATTTAATATAATGTATTATATGAATTATGTTAGGCTATCAATTTCTCAGAGATTTATTTGAAGCAAACTAGAAAATTTGTAACAAATATTCCTTGGTTTCTCGAAAAAAGCGGGAGGGAGAGGGAGGAAGAGCGGGGGGAGAGATGACTTTATAATAAAATCCCTTTTTAGCATCTGTAACACCAATTGAGGCTTGTGTTGCTTTGAAATAGAGAAACCAGCATTGTCTTCTCCAGTCTTAGTGCTTTGCATGCAGCCCTCATGTTCCATTTAACTTAGCCATTGCTGAGGATTCTGGGAGTTAAAGTCCAGATGTCAGGAGAATCACCTGGTTTGAAGAAAGCTAGGTTAGTCTAGTTTAAAAAGAAAACATGTTAAAAAAGAGAAATGGAAAAGACATTGATAGAGTAACTCAAGGATGCAAAAGAATCCAAATCTGCTTTACAAATATAATCCATCCATCTGATTCTCACATGTCTGTATCTTTTTTAGGTTAGAGTATAAATACTCTAAGCTGGTTATGAATGCGAGTTCTAAGGACAGTGAACTACCTGCAGCTGACAGTTGTGCCATCATGGAGGGAGAAGATGTAGAGGACGACCTGTTATTCACAAGCAAAAATTCTTTTTTTGGAAAAATAAAGGCATTCACTTCTAAAGTAAGCTGGGAGGGAAAGCGGGGAGGGATGGGGAAGTAGTTTTTATAAGTGTCTAGAATGAAAGTTCAGACCTTTGGTTTAGTTCCCGTGTTTATTTAACCCATCTGTCATATTTAATTTTGAGTCCACTCTGAGTTACCTTTTCTAAATTCAGCTAATGTATGAAGTATTCCAGGATGTGCATATGTCTTTTTGTAGAAGCTATTTTTTTAAAAAAGTTGCTATTTGTAATTAATGATCTTGGCTACCATAGGCTGCATACTGTACAAGCCTCATGAGTCAAGCCAATAGAATTGTGTTGAGTGTTTCTTCTCTCCCCTGCTAGTATTTCTGGCAGAGATGAGTAACAAAAGTTAAAAGGGTCTTTCCCCATCCATCCCAATAATAAGTACATTAAATTTTCTAAGATGCAACAGATCATCACCAATAATAGCTCATATAAATCTGGCAAAATACTGCAGTGACATCCCTATTATTATGGGATAAATCTGTGAGTATCATCAAACCTCAAAGCCTCTCCACATTTACTGCTATGTTTCCTATTGTTCTAACTTACATTCTAATTTAATGGTGCATTGTCGTTTAATGCTTATTTTCTAATGTGGCTATTTGTTTTCCTATAGGCTTCTCTTAGGTACAGTCAGGCATGGCAGGACTCTGTGTGTAGGGCTCTTCTCAATAAACTAAGAGGAAGAATCTTCCAGGTAGATGGAGATCAAATGTAGATACATGTAAAAACAGGCCACCTGATGGAGAGTGTGCCACAATCAAATGTTACTAGGTAGTTTAACAGCACAGTCTGTGATCTCTGGCTGGGACATAGAAGGCCAAAAGTGTGGGGACGGCTAGTCTGTGCCTTTTAAAATCACAGACTCTCTGTTCTTAGAGATGAATATCACAATCTCTATTTCTATTTGAGGAAATTGTGTACTTGAAGACATCTAGTAGTACAACCTTTTCAAACCTACGCTGCAGAAGTGTTGAACTACAATCTTCAAGAACTCCCAGGAAGCATGGCTGTTAACATAGAATTATTGGACTTTTAATGCAGTGTAGATGGAAGGGGCAGAATAGGGAAGGCTGCACAGGAAACTTCAAAGTCTTACTGCAAGTACAGGATTGTAAGCCCAGAAAAAGATGTGAGGCCCTGGCCTGTCACTGGAAGAAGTGAGTGCTTGTTAACACTCTTCAGAGTAAGACTAATGAGTGTTTTATGTTACTTGCTGGCCTTTTGCTCAGATACCTCATTTGGGAATTAGAGCCCCGGCTCTATACTTTCCATGAAACTAGAGAACCAAAGCATAGCATTGAACCTGGCTCTAGATGCTTAAATCCCATGAATGCAATAATACATGAGAATTTAATTCTCAGATGAAAACTCCTCCTTCCCAATTCATGAGAGTAGAGGGAAACTTGAATATTTTGGGTTTGCCCCCAATGATGATTCAGCAAAAATATGCACTTAAGTATTCAGCAAGCCATTTGTATGCACAGGCAAATGTTGACTGCTCCTCACCTCAATTTTTCTTCTCATCCATTCTGAAGTAATGACCTACTCATGGTTATTTCATGGCACAGATAACTGTGGGTGCAAAGCCCCAAGTGAGATGAATACTGAAGAGAAGCTTGGCAAAGTGTGGCATTGGTCCTTTCTTATTGCCTAGCCCCTTTAACCACTGTGTGCAAAGATATTTAAAAGCTCTTACATTCTTCCCATCCCAGGTGCTTCATTTGAATGCACTGAGATCCATCAGAGTTTGCTTCCACACAAGGGACCTTTAGCAGTGCTGAGGATTGTTCCTCTGCAATTCAAGTGTAGGGTTCTCCATTCATATTCATGGGTCATACCTAAACCTTGGTTATTCAGAAATATTATCATTCTGCATTTGCAACACCACCTAGAATTGAAGCCCTCGGTCTGCAAATACCTTCTTTTTTCTTTCAAAACTACTTCTGTTAAGCAGTCCTTTGCTTAAGTGTTTCTCATTCATTTCTCTCCTCAGCAGTTCCAAACTGATTCTTAATTACCCCCTATTGCTTTTTATATTTAAAGCAGTTGCTTGCTCCTTTATTTTTTATTTTAAAAATGCAATAGGGATCATTTGAAACAGCTGAACCAGGAACTAAAAACTGAGTATTTAGAAAACAAAACATACTAAAATCTGGGGCTGACAACAGCTTCATTTTTAATATTAGTAAATTTTATTTTTAAAAAATGATATCACTCTCAAGAAAAGGGATTGTGAAAAGTATCCAGTGCTATTCACAAGCAGCTAAACTGTATCTTTAACTGCAAGCATCCTCAAATGGACCCTTCTTTGGCCCTCAGTGCACTGATACCTCCCAGTAGAAGCAAAATCATGTGTGGACATCTGGGGAAGAAACATCAAAAGCAAGTTTCTGGTAAGAATCAGAGAGTCTTCAGTTGCTATTGAATGTTCCTCCCATGTTGGAATATGTTCACAATAACATGGAGGCAACTGGTAAAGAAATATTAGACTCACTACTAATGTTTTGGAACTACATTTATTGAATTCCCAGCTTGCTTGAGCTTTGGTATACTTCCTGGGAACTCTGGAAGATATAGTCCCTGTACATCTGAAACAGGTGTACAGTTCCTATACACCTGAAACACTTGTTTCACCATAAGTTCTTATGGGAGCCATTCTCATGTTCTGAGAATATAAGGAGCAGGATTGCATTGTTTGCCCTTTCTGTGTCACTAAATAAAGGGTTAGGGCAACATTTCACCTGATTCCTATAAAAATAGGACTCTGACAAAGTATAGAAAATCTTTACGTATTCTAGTTTTATTCACATCTCCTTTCTGTATTATTTTTAGAGAACATCTGATGGTTTTGATTCTGTGCCCTTGAAGACCTCCTCTGGCACCACCGACATGGATCTTTAGAAGTGGTTTGCCTCTCCCTGACCTTTCCTGGAGGAGTTCTTGATTAATACTGGCACTTTGATGAACTTGCCATGTGGCCTTATTGGAATATCTTTTAACTTCAGCTTCTTACTGTACTTTTTTAAGTCAAACATTCCTCCAAAAACAAACTGTGCCAAATATAATTGTGCTTTTAAAATTATGTGTAGATGTATATTTGTATGTTTATTGCATACAATGTGCCCACTTTTGTGATAAAGAAAAACATCCCACAAAAAGTTGTTCTCCGCAGTAAAGCTAGTGACATTATATACATTTTCTCTTTAGACACTGTAAAATTGTAAGACACTGTAAAATTGATTTAAAGTCATGTCACTCTGCTAAGACAAGCTGCTTCTCTGAGTCACACAAATTGCACCAAAAGGTCTTAGTGTTAAGAAGAATGTGTAGAATTGTGCTGTAAAACTTTCCATCTGCTTTTTGTAGTTTGCTACAAACGTCCCCCCCAAGGAAGCTACTATAACAACAGTTACATCAAACAATTTCCCTCTCTAAATATTTTACTGTACTGTTGAGGATTCCTCAACAAAGCAGGCCTGCCTTTCCCTGTCAGGATACCTGGCTATTCTGAAGATGTCTCTAATTTCAGTTCTTTTATTTTAAAAGAACAAAGAAAAATATCTGCATTTGAAAAGACTGTTATTTGCTTTGCTAATGACCCTTCAGGAAAATGCATTGTGGTCAAGGACTTGTGCTGATGGTGCACCTATCATGACAGTAGCATATGTGAAGCTCCATGGCCTAAGGCCTTTTCTGCCACGTCATGCAACTCAATCAGATTAGGATTCCAGATCTCATTCCTAAACTCTGGGAGTTGTAAATATTACAACAATGACTGCAATGATAAAGAAAAACCTCTAAACATAGCAAACCAAAATCAGGGTATTATATATTGGAAAAATTCTGCATCGCATCCAAGGTTAGTGGAACAGCTTTAGAAACACGTTTCCAACTCTGAATTCAGATGTCCATTTTAAACTTATTCTCACTGTTTGTAGGAAACTATTGAGTCTGTTTAATATTTCAGGCAATTTTCCTGCCCTAACTCCACCCAGAAAAGCTTATCCATTAGGACAGGTTCCTGTCACATAAGACTCTTCTGATTTTCTTGCTGTTTTCAGTGCCTTCTAAATTGTAAAGAGCTTCTCCAATCTAGCACACTTCAAAGATATTGGCTGGCTGGGAATAATGGGGTTGTAGCTAGAAGTCATCAGATCATAGAAGCTGCCTTAAACTAAGTACTACATGAATTGTTTTGAATGAATACTTAAGGCCACAAAGGACAATGCAGGAGACCTGAAAACAAGACCTGCTGACATGAGCTTCAACTGTATGTTAAATGACTTATGAGTGTTAACACAGTGAAAATGGCCCAAAATAACATGAATATTTTAAATTCAGATGTTCTGATTTTACCTTGATATTATTCTCTTTCAGAATTTTTCAGAGCGACTAGCTAGAGATTATGTCCTCCATTACACTTGGAAAAGACTAACAATTTGGGCTTTGGTATTCAGGCACCATCTAATAACTGGCAATTACCAAGTTAAAATTGACTGATTTTGTTGCTTTGTTTGTTTTGGCAGGTTAGAATAACCTTCAGGGTTCTGTTTGCAGTTAAACAGAGGACTATACAAAAACCAAATCCATTTTTTGACAGTATACTTCTCTACCTCAGAAATAATTCCCACTGAATTCAGTAGGGCTTTCCTCCAAGTAAAAGATCTCCCTTAAATCCCTCTGAATGTCCAAATACTCTGTAAAAGTAAAAAGAAATGTAGAACTTTTTCAAGTATGTACTTAAAGTACCCCCTAGTATAGATTGCTATCCATATTGCACTTGAAACATATCTTGAAAGTAGTAAATCCATTCTTATATAAAGGAGCGCTTGAAAAAATGATAACTAGCCATTACATGATTTTAACACTCCATTTTTTGTTTAAAAAATGTTTAATCAAGCCTTCCCAATCAAATGTTTTTAGATGTATTGGAACCCAGCCTGTATAACAGGATGCTGCTGCTGACAGTAATGGGAATTGTATTCCACCACATTTGAAGGATACAATTTCGTGGAAACTTGGTTTAAGCCATTTTTGCCAAATCAGTTAACAGGACTATTATAGTGTTTGAAATGGATTATATTTATTGGGATACAGCTATACTAGTTCAAGAGAGATAACCAATATTGCTTTAAAATGAGACAAGCTAAAATTGAAAAATACTATAATCCTAAAGATCAGCATATTTTGCGGTTAAAAAGCCTAATAGCTGTTGCTATGACAGTAATTGAAAAAAAATGAGACTGTGACAGCCTCTTAAAAATGATAGAGATGAGAAAGCAGAAATTGCTCTGAGAGTATAGTTAGCAATTGTGCTTTCTTACCCAGTAGGAAACTGTGCAATCAGATCTGAATGAATCAGTTGTTGCTAGTTGCAATAATTCAAGATATTCTATACAATTCACAATATGTGAAGTTAAATGTAGCTTCTATTATGGCTTGCCAGTTATTTGGCAATGTCTGTAGTGATAGCCATGTTTTGGAACACTCAAGAGGCACATATGGTAGGGCAAATTCATTTTATGGGGTAGTTATAAACCTTGCATACCAGAGTGATTGTCGGCATAATAACATTGACTAGAACATGTGTTGTAATGGAAGGCTCCCATAGTACCTGGACTGGTTTTCCCCAATTGGACTTTAGTTATTTAAACAATAGATAAAAGCAAGTCTTGTCTAGGATTACCAAATCAATTTGGCATCAAGTTCCTGATTTTTTCTATCTATGTCAGAGGATGTTCCAACTTATTTATTTTGCTGAAAAATGTACATAGGAAGGAAGGCTGGTGAGGGAGGGGGGGCTAATATTGGAAGGATGAGAAATTGGGACTTTAGGGGATACTAAAGAAAAATTACCCTTTGGTATTGCCATTTGCAGAAATTAAACTGCTACTCTAGCACTGTATAACATTAAAGTATTCTGGAAAGGACAAGATATATATTATACACACACACACATACACACACATGGCATTATGGGACAAATTTATCAGTGATCATGAGGGTAACTTAGGAAAGTTTCTTGCTGCTCAGGGTCAGGAAGATATATTTTTTAGTTTCAAATGAAGCTCACAGGCATAAAGAAAGGTAGGGCTGGTATTAGGTTAGATAGAATACAGTATAGTTTGCAATTTAAAAAGATATCTAACTGGGCCTATATGCCCCAATGAAACTTCTCCTATTCAACTTGGAAAGGCCTATAGTTTCAACCTCTGTTTCTTTTTTTTAAAAAAGGAGACCACTTAAATTCAAACCATATTCAAAACAGCAAAACCATCACTTGTATTAAAATGTACAGTAACAGAATGGCGCAGTGTTCCTAATTATTCAAAAGAGATGCTCTGAAGTAAAAGGGAAAGTAGACAGAGCATTAGTGTAGGACTCCTTAAAGCAGGGTTTCTTACATTGTGTGGCTGCAGGAGAAACTTTTGGGTAACTGCTTTAATGAATCAGAGAGAGAGGTGGATCTGGATACCTGCACATTTCAGAGCATCACTTCTAAATAATTTAACGTTCATATTATCAACATCATCAAAACATATTTCAGTAACTTAACTGTAGAGGATCAAGAGGGGAAAGAGGCTACACCACTAATAATGGGGACAGGGCTGCAAAGCTATTCTCAAAATGTATGTATTTATTACATTTCTAAATGATGTGTCATTTTCTTCTCTGTTTTGAAAATTAGATGTGTTGTGAAAGTAATCTTTTAAAAACACACGCAACACACCAAATACTAACTTTGTAGGAATCTTAGTGATAGCAGCAGTCTAAACAAAATAGCATACTTGAAGCTTTCCTTTGGATTTGTGTATGCAACTTAACATAATTGATCACATTTAGTAACAGTATGTTGCTAAATATGTGTTTTGTGTATGCAACTTAACATAATTGATCACATTCAGTAATAGCATGTTGCTAAATATGTGTTTTAACACAAGGAGGGGAAAAACACTTTGTCCATTTAATGGTAGAAGTAGCCATTAAAAATATATGAATGGCTCATATATAATAAAATACCAAATCAGAATTTGTAAACATTAATTGTGGTTTGTTGAACAAGCCATAATTGTCTGGTGTATATTAATTGCAAAGCCATACTGGATGCAACCACACATCATAAGAAAAAAAATCACATTATGGCTTTTCTACTATGTGTAAAACAAGCCATTGAATTATCTCATAGTAGAGCTGTGAGCAATAGGAATATTCTTTTTCAGAAGTATGGAAATGGACCTTGAACAGCAGCCATACTTCTTAAGATTCAGAAATGCCCTTTTCTTAGATTTTTCTAATATTTTCTCAAAAGATATTAATGCTGTCCACTGGTTAATTATATTTATTCTTACTTAATGTTACGTAATGTAGAGGCTGGGGAACACTACTGTATAGCATCTAGATTTTCTGATATATCATCTATAAGAATGTGGCCCAACTGTAATTCATGTTTGTAAATTTCATTCATGTAAGACAAGAAAAATACTTTTGTCTATTTAATAGCGTAACAGCATTACTGTTTTGTACTGTTGTGATTTATTATGCTGAGGGATTTTTGCTTCCACAACATTTTTGTACATGTTTGGGGTTTTTGAAAGAAAGTGTAATCTTTTTAATATATGATTAATAATATGTCAGATATTTTATTATTCCAGTAGTAATCTTTAAGGACTTTTCAGAGCATGGAGGAATCATAAAAATGCTATTCAGGGACTACAATATGATACATTTCTTAAAAATATGACAATGAATTTTTGCAATGCTGTATAAAACTGATTTAATTATACTTATAAACCTGTGGGGAACTTTTCTGCCTTGTGATGATGAACTGCAGCTTATTTTGTTCTATGTGCATATTGGGCTGGGTTCTACTTATAAGGTCAATACAATTTTATAATTAATGGAGACAATATTGCATGTGGATTTTTGATTAAGGACTAATGTACTGTTATGACTTTTGATGTGAGCTGTCAGCTTTTTTTTGTTCATTTTAGATGAACTGAAAAAAAGAGATCAAGAAAAGCTTCTGATCTCTATTTAATCAACTTTTATAATGTTATTTAGTATTCAAGCTATAGAAAATAAAACAGGAGCTGCCCTGCACCTAATATCTTACCTACAATTGTAGGATCTCAGGTTTCTCTGGGCCTATGTAATGAAAATGCCATGGCTAGGGCCTTTTATTTGCTAAGTGCAGCAGTTATTACACAGCTCAACCCAACTCAAGATAATTTGAGAACAACTAGGAGCAAAAAGACAAAACCAAAACAGAAGATATATTTNAGCAACAGAGATATCGACAGCAATCCTGGAGCCCCAAGATTGCATGTCATGTCGTTGCAACGTCAAACCCCACCCGCCAGGGCAGCATATTTCTTGTTACAAAAATTGCTGATTTCGATTTGCTTATATATAATGTCATTAAATCTCAGTTCATTAATACTAAGCCGTTTCAGATTCCATAACATTCAAATGAATCAACTTTCTTAAATTCTCATATTCTTAATACAACACAGCTGTTCTCTCAAAATCTGAGTCTCTTATATTTTATAGTTTGATTTCTAATCCCCCCCTCCCTTTTTTGTTGTTTAAGATCGAGCAGTTTGTCTATGCATCACCACATGATAATAAATCTTGGGAAATGTTTGATGAGATGATTTCCATTGCTGAAGAGTTCTACCAGTCACTGGGCATCCCTTATCACATTGTGAATATTGTCTCAGGTATTTCTCTCTCAGAATAATTTCTGGTTGTGATGGATGATTCCCTAGTACAGGGCTGTCAAACTCCTGGCCCATGGGCCAAATGCATCACATGCTGACCATGTCCATGCCTGGTTTAGCAAAAACCAGGGGGTGGGGAGTCCCGATAAGTCATGTGACACCACCATGATGGCGGACATTTAACACCCCTGTCCTAGTATATATGCACAGTATTTCATAATTAACTTCTAATAAAATTAGAAGCTTTATGAGTTCTCAAATATGTAGTTGTGTACCAGTATTAATTTCTCAAAGAGATTTAAGAAAATCCTAGGCCATCCTAGCATCTTCGTTTTTAGAGGATCGAGAGATTCTCTGCTAATATTACTTCTCCTAATACTGCACTAAATGCTGCCTCTTGGTATTACAGGTTCCTTAAATCATGCTGCCAGTAAGAAACTGGATCTGGAAGCATGGTTCCCAGGTTCTGGCGCTTTCCGTGAGCTTGTTTCTTGTTCAAACTGTACTGATTACCAAGCACGTCGGTTACGGATACGCTATGGCCAAACCAAAAAGATGATGGATAAAGTATGTTGTGTTATCATTCAAGCACTCTTGAAGCATTATACTGTTGTCAGTAACTTTTTTAGTGTTATAGTCAAAAACATTCACTTGGAGCAGCTTACAGATTTTATTCTTTATAGAAAATCTACATTTCTGCCATGGCCTTTTTTTTTTCATTCAGCATTTGAAGGCAGCTGCTCCAAATATAATAATTTGAAATTGTTGTGTTAGAAATGTTCTAGAAAAGCCAAAATAAATTTATAGACGCATGTCCGATTTGAATATTGGCTAATTGCCATCTATGCCATTTAGCTTACTAAAATAATGGTAAGCCATATAAACCATAGAATTGCTTACTTGGAAAAATATTCTAAAGATTATAGAAACAGAGATTTGTAGATTAAAATAAAATTGGATTATCATTGGTTTTTATAAAGTTTAGAATGAATGAACGAGCACATACAGGTGTACACAGAGCTCTGGCATTTGTAAATAAAATTATTTGCAGAATGGTCTGCTAGCCAAATATACTTAGTAGCAATGTTTTCTCTGTACTAATGTATTTAGTATTCTAAAGTACTATTTTTTTATATTTTAAATTTGGATTTAATGTGAAAAAATAAATTTTAAATTCATTTTAAACCTAGTGGGCAGTTATATAAATCACCACAACTACTTTTAAGCGAAATCCTGGGGATTTAGTAAGGTCTCTGGAAAAATATGTTTGCTTTTTGGGAATTGTATGAAACCTGGTGTGTTTTATTTTCATAGGTGGAATTTGTACATATGCTTAATGCCACCATGTGTGCTACAACACGGACTATATGTGCTATTCTGGAGAATTACCAGACAGAAGAAGGAATCATTGTACCAGATAAATTGAAGAATTTCATGCCACCAGGTAATAATGCTCATTTCCCCTTCCTACTTCCTTGAGCCTCTGTAATTTTGCTTTTGTTGTCTGAATGCCTAATGTCATTGAAGATTAGAGTCCCCCTCATAATTCTGACTTTAAAATATGGAATTATATTCCATAAAACCTGTGTGCTGATCTTCTGCTAAATTGGTATTATGTGTAGTCCTTGATTTACAACAGTTTGTTTAATGATCGTTCAAAGTTACAATATCACTGAAAAAGTGATGTATGACCATTTTCCACATTTATGACTGTGGCGGCATCCCCATAGTCATGTGACTTAGTCACAGAAATTTTGTGCCCAATTATGGTCGTAAATTGAGAACGGTTTAAAAGTGATCCTTGAGAGCAGTAAATTATGGGAAGCTGACTTGAACTGTGTTTCTTTACTACATTAAACTAAGAAGATCCATTGTTTTTCTAGTTTTCCTGAACCAGAATATTTTAGAAGTTGTACTGTAGTTGTTAGTATTAATTTTGCAGTCAAAGAAGTCAGTGACAAAATAGAAGCTGCCCAAGAAACCCTGAGAAGGAAGGCTTTGCTTAAGGGCTTTCTCCTTTTCAGCTACTTGTGACCCTTGCTTGGAGAGAGAAGGGTGAGCTTGGATGCTGCCCCTGACCTTATAATATTCAGCAGATGGTGTTATGTANTCAGGTTATTTTTATGGTTCATTTTTCCAAGCCATGCAAAATACCATTCAATTGAAAATGAACTCCATTCAAAAATGGAAGTCGCTTTTTTCAGTAAGAGTGGTCCTCTGTATTTGTAGGTTGTAGGTTGTAGGTTTGTAGGTTCCTTTTTGGCCTAAGGAAACAGCTGCTTTTGGTGGTAGATAGACTTACGCTGCCTGACTCTTACAACACAGTGTGCCGTGTTTGTAGTATCTTCCTGCACAGGCAATGCCACAGCCATCTTGCAGTGTATCCCTTTAGCCATTTCAGATTGATTGAAGCCAGCAAGGCAATCAGCCAACTGGCCAGTAGAAATATCAGAAAAGTGTGGGAGAGTGAAGCAGATTCCTTGAGATGTTGGGAGGGGAGAGTTATATGTGTCACATAGCACATCTTGGATCCCTCACATAATGGAAGATAGTAGTCCATTCACACTATCAAAATAAGATTTAGCTACCAACCTTTCATAGCTTTTGTCAGTCTTATATCTAAGAATGTGCAAAAGTGAGGCAAAGCCCACTTTTCTTCAGTTATTAGTATAGGTAGTCCTTGACTTACGACTACAATTGATCCCAGTATTTATGTTGCTAGGTTTTGCTCCATTTTACAACTTTTCTTATCACGTTTGTTAAGTGAATCACTGCAGTTGTTAAATTAGTAACACTGGTGTTAAGTGAATCTGGCTTCCACATTGGCTTGGCTTGTCAGAAGGTCGTGAAAGATGATCACATGACCCTGGGACACTGCAACCGTCATAAATATGAAACAATTGTCAAACATCCAAATGTAAATCGTGGCTATGGGGTTGCTGCAACCGTCATAAGTTTGAAAAATGATCACAAGTCAGTTTTTTTCAGTTGTAACTTTGAATGGTCATTAAATGAACTATTGTAAATCAAGGACTATCTATTATTTACTTTATGTGCAGAAGACGCTTTTCACTTCTATCAAAAACTGCAATTTTCTAATATTTCTGCAGTACTTTTCTCCGTCTGTTTGAGGAACGTACTTAATTGCCAGGAATAGTAATACATAAGTAGACTTAACATTGTATTGGAAAGTTTGTCCTTTAAACATCAGGTTTTGTAAAAATTTTGGTGCATTTCTTCTAGGCAGATTCCGGGCAGACAACCTGAACAAACTGAAGAACTTGTGCAGCAAAACCATAGGAGAAAAAATGAAGGTGCAGTACATTCTATTAAAAGCAAAAATGTTATTATTTCATTGAACAAAATCATAGTAAATTGAAGTTACATGCTCTGGTTTTGTTTACTTTATCCAATCTTTTATATATTATTTATTATGTGATTAAGTTGCTAAGCAGTGGTAAAGGATGGATTGGGAACCCCATCAGATGAATGCAGTCTGTAAAGCTTTCCATTTTACCTGTTGGTGACTCTCCTGAATAGATCCCTTTCTCCATGTCTTAAGAGGAAGCAATTATCTGGAACAGTTGTTTCTTCTCTCTTGATGCATAGGGGCAGGGCACTGAAAAGAATACTGTTTGGTGAGAAGACTCTAACTCTGCAGTGATATAATATGCCCTCAGGGTAGAATCTTAGGTAATCCAATAAAGATTCCCTACTATTCGATTAGCAGTGTTAAAAACAACATCAGAGACATTTAGGCTTAGCAGGTGGTATATGAACTAACAGTGGAGGAAAGTGGCACACTTGAATTGTGATAATGACATACACTAAATATTTGAACATGAACATCCCAAAGCAGCTGAGTGGAATTCAGTGTTATTTTCGGAATAGTAAAGACAGTGATTCCCCCTCTCCCCAAATTAAAAAGAGACTATTGGATGACTTGCTTCATTTTGTCTTGTATGAATGATTTGAGTACCATTTGAAGTCAATTTTACAGAGAAAGTTGATTGGGAAAACAATGCTTAGCACTGACAAATTTATAATTAAATTCTTGGAAATGCCTTTTTTAAAAGAATTAGTCATTTTCCCTTTATTGAATAATACAGAGATGAGAACCATAGTGTTTGCAACAATGCTAGATGATAATGCTTTCATTACAGTATTAGGCTTTAGAGTTGTCAAATTTGCTGAATTTGCAAAAGTAAAATAATTGATTAAGAATGGAGATAAAGTCATCTGAAAAATTTAACATAAATCATCTATATTTCCTGAGAAATATGAAAATAATGTAGAAAAATGGGAGAGGGGGTAGACTTTCTTTTAAAGTCTTTAGATTTTTCTCTCCTTGAGGTTTTATATATTTGGACAAAAGACATACTGCTTTTTCCTCATCATATATAATGCATAGTTTATAATTGTTCAACTCACTAATACTTTGTCTTGGTAACTATTTTTTTCTGAAAGTCTAAAAATATAATACAGAGTGTCCTGAAAGCTATTTAATCTTTGTATTTTATTATTTCTTTTCTTTGCTGACCTGTTTTCCTTTTTATTAATATTTCTATTTACAGAAGAAGGAACCTGTGGGTAACAGTGACGAAATACCAGATCATGCACAAAATCTTGACGAACTCACAGTAGACATCTTAACAGTAAGTTCAGTTCTTACTTTGTTATTCACTGACTTTCAATGTATGCATTGCATTTGAGAAAATGATTTAAATTTGGGAGAAGGATGTTTGTACAACATGATGGATTTCTGTTCTTCATGTGTTCTTGAATTTATTTCCATTATTGTGCTATTTGCTTGTCTTTAAGGTACAGTTCATGTTTTTTTAGGGGTATTCTTCCAATTCTCTTGCACTGTGAGCTGAATTATTATTTTAGTTCACATATTATGCTAACCTTTGGCTTACTTTTGATTGTGGCTTATACACCAAAATAGTTCTATTCATAAGACATATTAAGTCAGGGAAGGTGGAAAGTAAAATGAGGAATTTCTGGATGAAGCCTATAATCCTGAACACATCCATGCTACTGCATCTTACTACTGATCTTTTTCATTCTTGGATTAGTAATTTTACCAATTAGCTTTTGTATGGTCACATTATTATTACTATTTAGTCAAAGTATGTCAAAATTAGCCTTTAGTGACATAATACTCATTTAAGTCAAACACCTTTATTGACTTCGTGTTTGGTATGATAAACTTTCAGCTAAAATATGATGAGCATATAGTTACAGTCCTGCCCCCTTAAAATCCTCTTTTTACAAGAAGTCTTTTTAAATCTTCTCTCATTATGACATGCTGACACACCCAGCCTTTCCCTTGTGTTTCAGAGTCTTCAAGTTAGCCAAATCAAGAAAATCCGTCTCTTAATTGATGAAGCGATCCTGAAATGTGATGAAGAACGTTTGAAACTGGAAGCAGAACGCTTTGAAAATCTCCGAGAAATTGGAAATCTTCTTCATCCCTCTGTGCCAATCAGCAATGATGAGGTAGAAAACTTTTTCATGCCCTGCATGTAAATGTACATTGTGATTGGTTATGGTCAGTATGAAACAATCTTGAGAATCTAATTTCAGGTGTTCTTTTGCACAGCTGTAGTGTGGGCATGATGAATCCCTGGTGAGGAGAATGAGAATTCAATATGGTTTGCATTATAATGCAATTATCCTTCAAAGAAAGAAGCCACAAATATAAAAGAACCAACTATGTGCTAAATCACATTCTTGTTTGAAATATAAATGGGAAACAAACTATGTGGCTGGCTAAGATCAACTCCATTTTGTTTATTTAGAGCATTTTACTCTGCTCTTCAGGCAAAAACAAGCACCCAGAGTAGCTCACAGGTCAAGTAAAGGTAAGGCAGTGCTGTCCATTAACGTCACAATCTAAAACTTGTGATCCAGAAAGAATAAGAAAGATGGAATGAAGTTCACATTGGTATCTGTTGTTGGAAGTAATAGAGTTCTTATTAGCAGCCAAAAGAGCTGATAGACTGGTTCCTCTTTCTCTTTCTGTGCTCTGTAGCCTAATAGCAGCTGGTAAGTAAATTTAAAGATGAGCAGAAGATAGTTGAATGGCCAGCAGAATCAGTGTCTAGCAAGACCAGTTTTAATATAATTAACACTGTTGGATCAGTTATTGTTAGAATTTTTAGTAGTTATTGTCAGGTTGTAAGTAATCACTTGGATTGCAAAATAGTACTTTTTACGAGGTAAAATTTGCAATAAGGAATTCCTTTATAAGAAATTCTCCAATCCAAGGAAATCACTGAATGTAATCTTTACTTCCCAGACCACCAATTATCTTTTCATATTAGACCAAATTCTGATTATCTGTCATCTCTTGATAGTCCTTAAAACATTTATCACAATACATCTAGGCAGAGAACAGTGTAATGCAGGGCTGTCAAACTCCTGATCCATAGGCCGGATGCATCACGCCCCTGCTCGGTTTAGCAAAGGGGGAAAAAGTCCCCAAACACCATTGTGACAACATGAGTTTGACAGCCCTGGTGTAATGCAAAAAGGCTTCTGCATTACATTGTTCTGACCAAGTTATTAAATGCTAGTGTGTAATTAAATGGAAGTCAAAGTTGTGTTATAACTAAACAAAATGTCCAATAGGTTCTTGTGTGGACAAATATGCTTTTTCTTAGTTAGTTCATACACACAAACTATCCTTTTTTGGAAATTGGTAGGATGTAGATAATAAAGAAGAAAGAGTATGGGGAGACTGCACTGAGAGGAAGAAGTACTCTCACGTGGATCTGGTTGTCATGGTGGATGGCTATGAGGGAGAAAAAGGAGCTGTTGTAGCTGGAAGCCGAGGATACTTCCTTAAGGTAATGATTATCATCTTCATGAAAAGGTGGGAGACCTAATTTCTTCCAGCTTTTGCTAAATATACCTCTTAGAAGCTCTCACCTGGCTGTGACTTTGAGGAGTTACACTTCAGCTACAGTATGGGGGGGGAGTAATAAATATGAACCCCACATGCATTTAAAGTAAACTTGGATGAATGAAGCTTCTGTAAATAGGTCTTTTACTTAATTGTAGAAGACAATCTGAATCTAGGGGTCCCGAGGCCTTTTTAAAGCATGGTGTTAATCTGTTTCTATTTCCTTGTAGGGACCTTTGGTTTTTCTAGAGCAAGCCCTCATTCAGTATGCCCTGCAGACACTGCTTAGCCAGGGATACACCCCAGTTTATACACCCTTTTTCATGAGAAAAGAAGTGATGCAGGAAGTGGCCCAGCTAAGTCAGTTTGATGAAGAGCTCTACAAGGTAAGATCTGAGAAGAATGGTATTATTTCAATAGCACTGGCTGTGAGCTTCTAGACTATTTTTGTTGCTATCTCAATGGGTAATTAAACTATCCATGGAGTCATGGGAATGTTCTGGTAAAAATTTCAATAGGGTAATTACCTGCATATTTTATTTCAAACGTTTACCTTTCTGTTGGAAAATACAGAAAGGCGAAAATTCTCCTATAAATAGAAAATATATTTAAAGTAACCAAAAAGAGATAGCCCATGTCTAGATACTAGTAGTCTTATAATAATACTTTAAATATGTAAATATATTTGTAAATGCTTATACTTGAATTAATTTAAACTTATATTTCAGAAATAGAAAGTTTGTGGATATAAAACACTATGCTATTGCAGTTGTCTGATTTCCAAACTTCTTCCCAGGTCCTGGGAAAAGGGAGTGAGAAGAGTGATGATAATACCGTTGATGAAAAATATCTAATTGCTACATCTGAGCAGCCAATTGCAGCACTGCACAGGGATGAATGGCTGAAGCCGGAAGATTTACCCATAAAATATGCTGGGCTGTCTACTTGCTTCCGCCAGGAAGTGGGCTCTCATGGTCGTGATACCAGAGGCATTTTCAGAGTACATCAGTTTGAAAAGGTAATGTTATCCATTTTGGGGAGGAAGTGTGTGAAAAAAACTATACAGTTTTTCCTTGCATCTACCTTTACCATGTAAAATATAGTAAAATTTGAAAGCACAGAATGCACACATTGTTCTTTATGCATTCAGTGGTGTTTCCAAGTCCAACAAGGCAAAGTAAAAATTGTGTTTTAAGAAGTTCCTTTGAAAAGAAAGTTTTGATTGGATACAAGTGAGACAGATGAATATTTCTGTACATATGGAATTCAGTGGAAGATGGATTATGCTGTTGATCTTCACCCAACCTGAAAACAGTTATCTAACACCACCCCAGCCCCCAGTCCAATTCTGTGCTTTTCTAAGCTATGATTATTATCATCAGACCTTATTTGGATTATTATGGACACCAGAAACTTGTTTCTGTTCTCCTTTATTTAAGACTAAGAAATGATTGCATGTTGAGTTCTGAGGGACCACTTAACAGGTAGCCTTGCATATTTCCTTTGACTTCAATATGTTTACTTAACAAGATTTTCTTCAGTTCATAATACTTAGTTCCCTATTATGCCATCCTGTTGTCAAAGTATATCATGTGCTTACAGTAAAGATCTTGGTTCAATTATATTTCTACAATTATATAATTATATATATAATTATATATATATATTATAATCTATTTTCAAATTATTTTCTATATGTTCATGTGGTTGTTTGGACCACCCAGATCTGGGGATTTGACCTTGGATGTGGTTGCTCCTCTCCATTCAAGGATGGTGCACAATTTGGGAGTCTTCCTGGACTCACAGTTGCTCAATAGGCAGGTGGCAACTGTGGCCCGGAAGGTTTTTTGGCCAACTTAATCTGGTGCTCCAGTTGCAATCTTTCCTAGATTGGGATGCCTTCAGACTATCAATCATCCTTTGGTCATCTCACAGTTTAACTACTGCAACGCGGTCTACACAGAGCTACCCTTAAAGACCAATCAGAATTTTCAAATGGTCTAGAATGCAACGGAATGGGCAGTCATGGATATGCCTCAGTATGCCCATGTAACGCCTCTGCTTCACAAGCTGGTGCTAATAGCTACCACCTTTAATCCAAATTGATTGCATTCTGTTTTTATGACACACATTATTGGATTTTATTTTCCATATTGTTAGAATGTTTCCTAGTTAACTTGACAATCTTGCCTAGAGACCTATACTTACAGAGTGGAGCAGAAGTATAATTAAAAAATCCCACCAGCTCCCCTTAATTGTAGCTATGCTCAGAAATTTCTGTCTTTGTACAATTTACTTATTCAGTCTGCACAGGATTCAATGTCATAATAAGAAATGAAAATGTTTCTTTAAACCAGTGGCAAGTAGGAGGCCTGTCTTTGGAAAATGTATGAGGGATGAACATGTAACCCAAAGCTTTTTAATCAAATAAAACAGTTTTAATAAGAATGAAACAAGTATTTTGCTTTTCAGATTCTGTGTATGAGTTTGTTAAACATAATGTTTGCAAGGTAATTTATTTCAGTTAAATAGCATGCTTAAAGGTAACAAATTTAGAGTTGTTTAGTAAGATATTTTCAATATTGGGCAACATATTTCTTCTTTTTTTAAAATATTTTTTTTATTTTCAAACAAACACGCAAAACGCATAACATAAAAAACCTCTTCAACTACATACAGTGTGTCGATTGGTTATAAAATGTTTCTCCGTCCCTTCATAGTCATCATTTGAGCTTTATCAAAAATTGCTTATTGTCAATCAAATATCTTTGTATACATTATTATTGTACTTCATTTGTTTAATTATCACTATTGTTTCACCATTTTAAACAAGGTATTCTAAATATGTATCCATTTATATTATGATGATTCATTATATCTTCAATATATCCAATAATAAAGGTTTTTTGTATCCTATTCTAAATCATTCTATTATTTTAGCATTAATAGCATTCTCTAATAATTTTCAATTCCATGTTTTCCCATTATTAGTATCATCAACCTAATATGCATTTATACAAATTATTATAATTGTTAAACTTCCATTAAGAATAGTTATTATTATATCCTTTTGAAGTAACTTTATATTATGGCATTTCATTACATCATCCTGAAATCATCCAATGATATTACATCTTTATATTCTCTTCTATATAGAATTATTTATCTTTTATAAAAAGGCTTTTCAATGTCATCTACATCATCCTCACTTACAGTTTATATAAAATTTCATATATCAATCTAGTATATATAACTGCTTTATTATCATTATTGATCATTTATTTGACTATAGCTATTATTAAT